ACATCTTTAATTAGTGGCTTCCTGTGCTAAGAATGGTCCAGATGTGAATTGCTGCTCCCTGTTCCCTCCTCCCTCCTTCACACTCCTTTATGATTGGTGTGTCCAAGCTCACAGGGAAGGAAGAGCTGCAGCTGGGGCCAAACCCCCCCAAGTAGGGAGAGGCTGGCCCATTTCACTGCCTGCCCTCCAGCTATCCTCTCACTCAAAGCCATCCAACCTCAGCAGGACTTCTTGGGCCCTGCCACCCAAATAGGTCTGACCCCAGCCCATACTCCCTCTCAGGCTGGGCCACAGGGAGTTTCTGGCTAGCCACTAGACACCCTCCCCCAAGAGCTAATGTCTGTGACTACAGGGAGGTTTGCACTTTGTCTTGTTGAAATCCTTTCATCTCTGTGCTGTGGCCCCATCCACCCACCGACCCCACCAGGCCTAGGCGATTATCATGGCTCTGGACACCCAGCATCCTTCATAAGCAGGGCCTCTTTCTCTAATGCAGCCCTTCTTCCCTGGGCCTGAGGCTGCGGGCTAGGAGGTGGGAATAAGGGGTGTGTGTGTGTGTGTGTGTGTGTGTGTGTGTGTGTACATGTAAACGTGTGTGTACATGTACACCCCTGTGAGTATATGTGGTTTGCTGTCCTGTTCTAAAGGATTCCAAGCCATGTGAAACTTCCCTCTGGATGTGATTCTGGGTTGCAGCAAGTGCTTATTTATGTATGAGGTTGGGGAATGGGCTGGGGGTGGGTTGTCAGTTTTTTGTAAGGCAGTATGGAGGGGGTGACATTGGCTGAGCCTAAGGCACTCCCAGAGGAAAGCACTGCAGAAGGAACTGGTTTCCAGACTGCAGAGGGATCTGCACTTTTGTTTGTTTTTGACCAAAAAGAAAAAAAAAAAGAAAGGAAAAAAAATAGAATTATACACACACACATACATACACATATATATAGGGAAAAAACATATATATACACATACAATATATATATGTGTGTGTGTGTATATATATATGTATATACATATATATTCACACACACATAAGCTCTGAAGGGTAGAAGGAATATCCAAGCCTCTGTTGCCTAAGAGAAGTCCCTAGACTTCAGTGACCCTGTTGTGCAACCTTACCCAGGATGGGAGCTGCTTACCTGAGTTCCATTGGTGGGGAGTTGGGGGTGGGGAGATAGGACCCGCATTTGGAGTCGGTCAGTGCCTATTGCTGGCAGTCCTGAGCCTTGCATTGTGACTTTTTGGTCTTCTGGTTGTGTTATTTCACTCCATCTGTGTCCCTACCTGATAGTTTCTCTCTTGTCATCCCCCTCACTACCCTTACGCTGCCTACCCTGGACCTTGATGCTGTGAGGCATGGTCTCCTGGGTAGACCAGGCTGGACAGGCATGTGATCCTCCCAGCCATTGTACTTGGGATACAGAAGGGCACTGGTTCCCCTTCCTCTGCAGAAGAAAGGGTTTTTTCCAATCCATGGCATAGCTTCTGAGCCACAGTGCTTTGGTAATGGGGCTACTTAGCATCAGGGCTCCATCACCAGAAAGCACCAAAGTCCTGGTATCCCACCCCATTCCATTCTTCCCGGGACCCCAAGTGGGTACTGCTGTGGCAGTGAGTCTGGCCCAGACAGGCACTGCCGGCCTTCCCTCCCTACAATGGGCACCAGCTCTACCTCCCCATCAGGGCAAGGCCCTGGCTTCTCAGCCCAGCACCATCTGTTCCTCTAGACCTCTTGGGCCAGCCCAGTCTGGGTCACCCTGTCCCTCATCCTCAGCTCCCATGCAGGTGACAGGCCCAGGCAGATAGCTCCTCTCTGGGAAAGGTTGGATGCTGCCTTATCCTCCTTCTGGCCCCTCCTGTGCACACACACACTGGTACCACCCACACCCAGGCCAGCTGATTTTTCACCACATGCAGGGAGAGGGGGAGACCAATCCCTTCCTGTTTCTTGAAATACGAAGAATAATGTGTGTTCAGGAGCATGGCTCCTACACTGGGCTTTTGGGCCTGGTTCAGTCTGTCTCGTCTCAAATCTAGGCATTTTTGCTTCAATTTTATTTTTTTTAAGAAAACAAACAAAAATCTGCACTAATTTACCTGGTTTCGTAGGAAATTTTTTTTTATTTTTTACATTTTTTGGTGTCCGTTTGTATTGAATAATTTGCTACATTTGTAAAATGTAAGAGGTATATATAATATATGTATATTTCTAACGTAAGAAATGTAATTTTTTCTTTTCAAGGTTTTTTCTTAAAAAGAGGAGAGAAATTGATATTTTTTCAGGAAAACAAACTTTAAAATAAAAAAAGAGGAGAATAAACCTTTTTCTCCCCTTTCCCCATCCTCTGTCTATCCCTCTTTCCCAGGAACAAATCTAAAGATGGATTATCTTGTGAAGAATGTAAACTGTCAATCCAGAATGATGTCTTTTTCTCAATGCAGGGAGCTATAGATTCTCTAATTCTCCCTAAGAGTGGGAGGGGGCATTGAAGCAACTGTGGAGAGGAGCCAGGGGAGCAGGGTAATGACTTTTTTTTTCTTTAGTGAAGGAGGAATACAATCAAGTGTTTTGTATTCAGAATGTTGTGCAATATTTTGGAATGGGACATTGGTGTGTTAGAGATTTAGTTTAAAAACAAGATTGATCAAATCTGTACAGTTTATATTGTTCCAGATTTTTTTAAGTTTGTATTAAAAGCATGATATATAATAGCCCTTTCCTTGCTCCTAACTTGTTCTGTTTATGGGGTCTCTTGGGATGGAGAGAATGGCAGTAGCCCAACCCCTACCCCTGGGTGGACATAACTGACTTCTTAGTATGCCCACTACCACTATCCTTTTCCATGTTGCAGACAGGTTCCTTGAGGCTAATAGACATTTTCTTGTTTGGTAGTTGCTGGGGCCAGGACTGGAAGCAGAGCCTTAAGATTGGGGTTCCTCTTTGTGGCTATGCTAGGAACTGCCTATTCCTTGGAGAAGGAGGGAGAGGTCCACCTCCAGCCTACTCTAGATATAGTATTTGCCACTTGCTCTTTGGATATGGCCAGAATGAGGAGAGCCCACCTAAGCCAGGTTTTGTCCAAACACCTGATACTCGGGTTCTCTGTCCTTTTCTTGGGCCAGACACCTCCCTAGCTGCTTTAGAGGTGACAACCTGTCTGAGCCCAGGATTGGAAAGCAGCCCACTTTTCTGCCACTGATTTCTTTGAGATCTCAGCCACCTCCTCCCTCTCCTAGGACCTCAGGGCCATGTTTTTCTTCACAAGGTCAGGGCTCATTAATGCTGTCCAAGGTCTTTGGGCCCAACTGGACCCAGAGTATTTGTGAAGGTACTTGTTGAACCTTTTGCGGGGGGAGGGAGGGATCCCAGGGATTGAACTCAGGGGCACTTAGCCACTGACACATACCCGGCCCTTTTTCTTACATTTCATTTAGAGACAGCCTCTCTGTTGCTGAGGCTGGCTTTAAACTCATGATTCTCCTGCCTCAGCCTCTCTAGCCGCGTATTCCTCTGTTCCATCATGTGGGGCTTATTTTTGTTGAATCTTATCTCGCCCTCATAGCAGCCAGTGGTGAAGGCCAAGTTAGATTGCCTGCTTAAATTCACAAAACTAGTAAGTGGTAAGGCTGAGATTTTGATTTGATGTGTCGTATTCAATCCAGTGGTCTTGAGCAGTGTTAGGCCCTTGTCAGAGAATAAACCAGTGCCTGTCTTTCCAGAGCTGATCTTACCAATATTTGATAAGCTGTAATACTGTTTTGGGATATGATGATGGAGATGGGGAACATTAACACTTTCAAACTGGGGCAGAGGGCAAGCAGATTTATAGTGCATCAGGAGGGTGGGGTGTCCCCAGGCTCTTAACTTTACAAATAAGCCAATACAGCCCTCCCCTCAACCCCTGCAAGCATGTATACTTCATGTATCTAGAAGCGCTGGGGCTAAACGTCCAGCCTCTAGACAGCGTCCCAGGAGCCCTGGTGTCTAGCTCCTTCCACTGGCTGCTTCCCACAGAGTGTCAAGCAGAGGAAAGCCCCTGGTCAAGACACAAAGCCACTTAACAGGGGTCTCATACTTCTATCAGAGAGAAAGCCAACCTGTCTTGTGTCCAAGCTGTCCACCAGTCATGGGCCCCAGAGCAGAGGTGGGATGGCCCCTCACCTCATTTCTATTTATAAACATAGGTCCTGACTCAGCAGGTGCCAGGGTCACCTGTTCCCACTCTGTCACACTCAGATCTGAAGGGCCAGGGCAAGCTCCCACCCACATGCCAAGACTAACTTCTGGGACAACCAGTCCCTCCAGCTCATGGTGTGGACACTACATATTTGAACAAACCCCCAACTCCTCCATGGAATGGACACAGAACTAACTCACTCCATTCATGCCGTGTTTTATTCACCAGTTGTTCACTGGCTCTGATGAAAAGTGAGCTGGAGACCTGGAGAGGTAAAGGGCTGCCTGGGACCCCTGCCCTACAGCAGGGGAAGAAAAGGGCATCATTTGTGCACTTTAAAAACCATCCCTGAGTATCCATCCACTCTGTTCTGGAAACAGTTGTGGGGGTGGGCACCTTCAGGACACTATACACAAGGGACCTAGGAGCCCACAGATCCAAGAAGGCTTCTTGGAGGTGCGAAGAGAGTAGAAGTCAGCCACAAAAGAAAAGGCAAGGCTACAGCCCTCCCAGGGGAGCCCCATCAGGGGTAGGGGAAAAGCCTGGATCCTGCTCCTTAGAAGCACAGGTACCACCAGGCATGGTGGTACACACCTGT